AAAAAAAAAAAAAAAACAAATAATCATTTGAATTTCAAAACACAAGTAAGTACTTTAATACCGATTTAATTAGATCGATCGTGACCTTGCGCCGCCTACCCGTTTTAACATTTTCATAAAGAATACAAAATAGGAGAGAAAAATAAGAAACAAAAGACAGAGAGAGAGAAAATATGGTGGGGGGAGGGAAAAGTAATACGAAAAAAAAAAAAAAAAGAAGAAAAGTAAAAAAAAAAGGGAAACAAACAAACATCATCCCATCTGATTGGTGGAAACGAATAAAAAAAAACGTATAAGCCAGGCGAATTCTAACAAACTACAAACTATGGTATTATCCCCTGACTCCGTGAGAAGCTTTTTATCGAAGGGATAGAAACGCGAACGTCGGTGGTGGGCAGGGTAGCGGCGAGGGTGAGGTGGTGAGGGGTTGAGGGGGTAGGGGGAGGGAAGAGTAAAATGGGTGGTGATGGTGGTGGTGGTGTAGTGGTAGGGTGGTGTATCAGTCGTAGGCGTAGCTGAAAGAAAGATATAGAGAACAACGAGGCTAGTAGTGCCCCCATACGAGAAAACCTAGAACTATTTTAGGGGTGGAGGAGAAATGTGTAAGGGTTTAGCCAAGCCAAGCCAAGCCAAGCTTCCAGGTCCCTCGTTCAGTCGTGCGAGAAGCGAGGGTCGCGCAAGCTCGCGGAACCCCTTGAAAGTCGTCCTTGGTGTGAGATTTCGTTTCTCGACGGAGAGGAGAGGAACGGTTAAACCGGTGGTGGTGGTGTTGTCTTTATTTTATATTCGTTATTTTTCTCTCTCTCTCTCTTTCAATTTCTCTCTTTCTCTTATTTCCTTCTCCCTTTCCTATCCTTTTCTTTCGCATTATTTCCTATCCCCCGTTATTAAACATAATCTTAATTAATTATTTATTATTGGGGTTGTGAATAACGTGAATTTATTGTTGTTGTTGTTGTTGTTATTGTTTTTGTGAAGGGACGCAGAATGATTTCATTCAAATAGATTTTAATTCGAGTGATAGTACGAGAGAGAAAGAGAAAGAGAAAGAGAGAGAGAGAGAGAAAGAGGGTGGGAGAGAAAGAGAGATAAGGGAGAATATATAAATAGTGAAAGATAGATAAGGAAAGGAAATAAGAAAAACGGGAAAAGATTAATAATAAATAAAGGAAGAAGGAAAGAAAAAAATAGATAGTGGAAAGGATGGCGTCGAGGAGGAACGAGGAAACGAGGCCACGTCCTGCTGCGTGTGCAAGGTATTCGAGGTTAAATGCGGATGGTGACGACGACGGGGCTGACCAGTGATTTTGATTTGATTAGCAGCTTCATCGAGTCAGGTTAGTTTACAATAAATAAATATATGATATATATATATATATACTCTTGTTTTTAGAATTTTGTTTGCCGATGTCCGATCAATTTTACGGTTATACCACTTGTTTCGTTTTAACATTAACTTCTATTCGTTTAATCGTCATTTTATCTTCTTCATTTAACTCGTGTTAATTATTCTCGTTGAACAGTTTGAATAACGATTAGGAAATAATTCTAATCAATTTGCGTTGATTTGAAGTAATCAATATTATTCTTGTTTCTCTCTATGATCTCTTTTGGTTTAGAAAAATATTTCAATTCTAAAAACACACACACACACACACCGCAGCCGATCTGTCATTTTTATTATTTCATTTGAATTCTTATCTTCATTTTTCTGTTTTTCTTACAAATTTGTCACGAATCACGATCAACGTAGAAAATCGTTATTATATACTGATCCCTCGTAATTATTATATTTCGTTTTATTACTTTTATCGTATTATTTTCTTTCTTTTTTCTTTTTTTTTTTTGGAGGTGAAAGTGCGTTCGTTCAAATTCCACGTAGAATTGTTCTCTTTGTTTCCCTTGTTTTTCGGTTCGAAGTATTCCTGATCGTTCTTCGAAGAAATTGTTTCTTCTCATCAATTTCGAATCAGTAGTTTATATTTGATCCTGTACTCTCCTCGGATCGTAACGAAAAAATTTCATTGTCCTGGCGAAGGAAGAAGAAGAAGAAGAAAAAGAAAAAGAAGCCGGGTGGTGTCTACTTCGGTTCTTTCTTTGTAGTCTTTCTCTCTGTGGAAGAGAGCAATCAAATTGATCCTCTAACCGGCGTCTCTCCCTCTTCTTTTTTTTTTTTCTTTTTTTTTTCTCAAAGTGAACTCTACTAACTGTTTTTCATGGCGCTTTTTTCCTTTTCTTCCTTCCTCCTTTCTTCTATTTCCAACCACCCACTCTTATTTTTCTTTTATTTCTTTCCTTTTTTCTTTTTCCTCCCCCTGGAGAGCCGATTTTCTGAACAATGAAATCTACCTTTGATACGTACGATGTTAATTGAACGAATAGAAAAAATATAAATAGTCGGGGAGTGGGGTGGGGGGTGGGGGGTAAAGACAAAGGAGGACAAAGAAAGGATTTGAAAAATCAATCAGTCGACTTTTTGTTAACATATTTTACTGAACGACAATTCGAAAGGAGAAAAAAGATAATGAAATTTAACGAAATTGTTCTTTCTCTAATTAATAATTCCCATCAATACAATTTAATCGTCATTGAATATTTTCTAACGTACAACATTTTCGATCACTTCTACGCAATTGTTTATCAATAAAAAAAAATATAATTAATTGATTTTTCGAATATATATTAAAAATTTTCGTGAAAAGTTCTTACTTAATGCAGGTATTTCTCGAAGGACGATTATTCGAAGGATCGTGTTAATGATTGTCCAAAAAAACAAAAAAGAAATAGAAAAAAAGGTGCCACCACGTGTTGCCGGCAATTCGGATACTTTCGAGTTTCCCACCCCTTCACCACCCTTCTGGTCTCGATATATTATTTTCATTTCTTTTTTTTTTTTAATCGATTCGTTGAGGGAGAAATAAGGACTATCTATTCCTCCCCCTTTCTCTTTCTCTCTCTCTCTCTCTCTCTTTCTCCCATTTTTTTTCTATCTGCTCGTCTTTTGACGAAAAATGGGCTGAAGTATCGGTTGCGCGCGTGTGCTCACGGCCCCGATAAAAATAGACGATGTCTATCGTCGATGCAACCTATTCAGAGACAAGAAAACCAACCTATCTATCTATCTCTATCTCTCTCTCTTTTTTTTCCATACATACACACACATAAAACAGTCCTTATTTCTAAACGAATACATTTTATTTAATTGCAAAGATTAAACTAGATTATAATTTCGCGTTCAAATGATTTCTAATTAAAAAGAAAGAAAGAAAAAAAAAACGATTATTATTAATTCAACAGATTGTTATACGATGAATTATCTAACGAATAATAATAATAATAATAATAATAATAATAGTTGTAATTAAAGAAAAAAAAATTGAATGCACTTATCATGTTTTAATACAATGTTTATCTAATTATCTTTCATCACAACACATTTGTATGACTCTATTGAGACTACCCACACAATAATTGACATTTACCAACACAACACACACATCCTGACCATTTATAATTATTCTTTACAATTGAATAGTTCTCTCAATCAATAGATCGATTTTTGGAGTATACTCGAATCTGCTCGACCTTTCTTTTCACTTCCATGCTTAGAACCTTGAAAGTAACTATAACATTTGGTTGTTAAGGTAAAGAGGGGAAGAAAAAAAAAAAAAAAAAAAAA